CCTTGTGTTTGAGTAATTAAGACACTATGCAGGTATATTTCAGCTTAATGATACAAATGTCCCACTTAAGAATGAAACAGACATTTGTCTTTAATTTCTTCAATGTTTTTTTTTCTATTTCCTGATACTTTAAATCATTTGAATCCCAATTGCCATCAGTTAGCTTTCATTTCCTGGAACACTACATTTAAATAGTAAAGCTTTGCATTGTGATTTTCCACCCTGCTCAAACATAATGTAATACTAAACCTACCAAGAAAAAAATCTAAAATGTCCTTTTGGTTTTTCATCTGGTTCTTCAATGATGTCACTATGCAAATTGGTTGGTCTAACTTTTCACCCCACAGTCAAACATGTTTTGTTGTTTGCTGTCTCAGTTTTTATATGTTAAAAAGGATTTAGATTAGATTTAAATGGCAACCAAAGCCTAAGAATTGGTTGCCAATTTCTCAAAATGCCAATGGCAACCTGGCTTCTTTTACTGTCCAGCCCGCAGTGACTAACTTGTATGACAAACTAAGGAAGCCTGTGTCAACAACCATGTGCTGCTTCAGTCCCCATCACTGGTGGCAGATAAGATTCCCACAAAGTGAATATCAGAAATCATAATTTGCCACATACCATCAGTATGCATCCCGTTGTTGTTTTAATAGCTTGCAGATTACATTACTTGTGTAATCTGCAAGCTATTCAAATAACCACACTTTTGGTATTTTGCTACTGTGGTAAGTCTTTTCATTAATGTTTTGTTACATTAAGTTATGTCTGACTTTTTGAAGGCACTGTAGAAAGGAAATAGGGCCAATAATGAAGTCACCAAATAAATCTGAACAATCACACTCCCAAATGTAGAAAGACTTCAATATTACTGTTTCTTATTTCCTCGTAGAGTTCAGCAGAAAGCTGGGAAGGAGTGACAATCATGAAATGTGAAGTTCTCTGTCGACGTGTGTTACATACATGTATATGTGCTGCGTTAAAGGTCAGTGCCTCATAGATACTTCTTCTTTGCAATATTTGGCTGATCATAAAGGGGCTACCATTTGCAGAGTTGCCGTGCATGCAAAATTCCAGGTCACTACCACTGGGATCCAATAATGCCTTTGGCTAAGCAACAAGATGCAAATACATCTATTCAAATTCGCACCACTCCATATACATCCACGCTTACACAAACACTTGCACACAATCTCATCTCAGTGCACTATGCTGCAGGGTTAAAGTGCAGGGGCGATACTTGGTCCGTCAAAGGATTTGATTACATATGTTGTTGTTTATTTTGTTGTCCAATAAATGCAAATTATCATTGACATTCTCACCAATTGAAATACAAAAATGTGTGTTTACCTTCCCTGTTGCGTAGTTTGGCAATCCAGTGTCAGGCCCAGATTACTGTCTCACCCAGGCCTTCATAAAGCTAATGGCAGACAGGCAGCATCTTCCTCTGCAAGCTGTCGAGCAGACACAGGTTAGTCAGAGTTAAGAGATCAATGCATTATATGTCCCGCCCAGAGCTCCAGATTTCTCCCCTAAGGCACTAAAGACAGAGTTTACATAGTCACCTGGTGTTTAACTGGTAAAATATAGTCGAGATAAGAAGGATGGTACTGTGCGCAGTAAAGACAGATAAACCCTCAATATCACACCAGCACATCCTGTCCAATTTCAGCCTGCCAAGCCACTGGGGCATCCCAAATATCATCCATCCCGTCACTGTCCATCACACTATACATAGAAACGGGGAAATTAGCACAAATGCAGCACTCGCCATCAGTGTGAAGTATGGTGGCAGTAGGGGGATTATTTACGGGCAGCATTACTTTCTGAAGACCTGAGCTCTGAGTCACCAACCGAGCCTGATAATTAATTCCTCACTCCACAGAAATATTATGAAGCTCCATGACAGAATGACAGATGCACATTGTCAACAGGGTGACTGGATTAAGCTATTATGACTGGTTAATTATGTGACAATTAGGTTTTTATGTAAATGAATGAAGACTTTAGGTAGCAGTTTATTTGTTTTTGTACCCTACACTGTGTTTGACTATGAAAGGGTGAACACAGGAGACATGAGGTACAATAGTTTGATGTACTGGTGTGTAATCAGTATTTTTTGTTTTTGTCTGCTCTTTGTTTGTCCCAGAGCTCAACTTCCTGTAGATACAAGAGGTGGGGGGGAGATACACTGGGATCTGACAGTAAGAGATAACCTGCCATCAGCGGCCTTCTATTTTTAACTGCAGGTACTAGTAACGCATGACGTGGGGCTCTTGTTATCAATATTTATGGAACAAAGATTAAGACAGAGTAATGATACACATAGCCACGGACTGGATCCATCCTCGCCTAATAGTTGTCATTACGGCGATGGGGAAGGAAAGTGCTGATAGACAAAAAAATGTCAGGCTGGCACTTTACAATTTAGTAATGATTCTAGAGACCAGACACGGCCCAAATGTAATTAGCAGATGTAAACAGGAAAGTATGATGACTGCTGTGTTGAAATGGCTTTAACAATGTTTTTTTGTAGTTGTTTTTTTGTTTTTTTGTTGGTGATTCATTTTGAACAGTTGTCATTTAAGCAGGTGGAGCTGGGATTCATTTGCAGGCTTTCATTGACAGATTGTTGTATTCAATCACTTGAGATCACACCTTAAAGGCGGATTGCTGCTTTGGAAGTAAATTCGTTTTCACAATACACAGAGCAATAACAACTGTTGGTAATGAGCCAACCACTAAAGAGCAAATATTCCTGCCATTATTCGTCCATCATACATCTTCCCTCGCTCTGCTTACAGTACCTAATGAATATCAATATCTATACCAATCTCAGTTTTTCTTTACAGACCACGGAGATCCATAATGCTGTATATTCATTTCCAAATTTATCCCACGGTGAAGCCCTTTGGCAACACATTTTAATAACACTCCATGTGCCAAAATATATTACACTCCAACACTTTAAAGTTCCAAGAGTAAGCTCAAAAGAGGTGAAGTATCTTGGCAGAGCATAGAGCAAAATGCCACGCAGTCATATGCAACCCAGGGGATGAAGTGATTGATCTGTGACCTCGGACTCCGCCATAAGATATTGTGGTGAAGAGTGCGGGGGAGGGCATGGATGGTGAAAAAGGGACAAGCATGAGTCAGTAACAGAGTCTGCGAAAAGCTGTGGGAGCAGAGTAAGTGTTAACAACATCGCAAGTAGGAGCAAGTCAAGTTACCACGTCAGGAGGCACAAAGAACTGGGAGTAGGATGATGGTAGGAGCCCAAAAGGTGATGGGACACATACATCCTGATCGTTTAATCATGTGAAGAGAATGAAGGGAATTGTTCATCCACAGCAGGCTGTCCACGGCAAGCTGATATGTGTTACCTCTCTCTTTACGTCACTCCCTTTTATTAGTAGCCTGTAATGAGTAGCCACCGTGTGAAGGAGTGAGTTCAAGGATAATAAGCGATGTGTGAATCTCAAATCCAGCACTTGTTGCCTGTATATGGTACATTAAAATGTACATTGGCAAATAATATATTAATCTAATTTTGTCTGATTATGCCATCTTGTGTCTTTGAGACAGAAATGTATTGACACAAACTGCAAAGAAAATAACTTTTTTTCTTGTGGCCACTGCCTCTACAAGCAAGATGACAGAGTACATGCGTAGTCAGACCAAATTAGAATCAACCCTGTTTGCCAAGAAAAGTATTTTCAATGTGTCAGAACTTTTGTGGTACAATATTGACAAGTGACACTGAAAACAGTAAAAAAAAATTGCATTTTTATTTTCCTCTAGAGTCATTAAGCCGCATATAAAACGATCAATCAGTGCATTTTTCAGCACATACAGTATATGAGGAAAACAGGATAGTGTCCCCCTCTTTAACCACCTGTGTGCCAGAGCAGCAGCTCTGAAAGGCTTCAAGTTACCTTAATCACTTTGTTGAACACCTTCTTTGTTTTGTCTTGTGAGAGAAGTCCAAGGATGTGTCAGTTTTGTGCTATTATCTGCTTTCAGACGCACGCCTACAGGTTCCAATAACACGCATCCCATGCGGCGTGATTTCCATAAACTATGACAAAAAAGTAATTTTTACCGCAATAATGACACGTTTCTTACAAACACTCTAGAGAAAGTTTGTGATGCTGGAAGAGAGTCAAGCAAATATCACCTATTACTCATGTTACTTAGTACATTTGGGGCTTCACTTGCAAGCACAGCGCTTCGTCACTGCATAACAATCAGATGGCTGAGTGATGGCAGTGCAACTGATGGAATTTTACTGAAAACAGATTTCGTCTTTGAACTTCCAGTTATTCCTGATCGAAAAGTATCATCCCTGGCTTTTAACGCTCTGGTCGCTTCTCTCAGCTTAATCACGCTTCCGGAGGACGTGGATTAACTTTTTTTTCTCTTACATCTACCCGGGAAAAAAGAAAAAAACGCAGTACTTTAACTGAATTTGACAATGTAAGTATTATGTGAGTGTTTGGTCCGGCAACAACAACAAAAAAAGCGCAGGGGGTGCAGCAGCAACAAGTTCCTCAACAACTTGACAGCAGGCACAGTGCCGCTAAAAATGTGATATTGTTTTGTTAAAGCGAACTGGCTGTTCATCCTCCGTGTTAGAAACATCTAAATGACCAGTTGTGCGTGCGTAACAGGCCTATATGGCCCTTCGCCAAATAGGGAGTTAACAGTCTATAACACAAACACGTGAATATGGATATGTGTCAGAAGTTTGTATGTGTCTATCGTTGTTTCTCGATGCGGATTTAAAGATATGAGGCAGTGAACGAGCGATCAGTCGGGAACTGGTATCCCCATAAACTTGGATTGCCGTCGCTTATTTCAATCACGTAAGACCCCTAATGGCGTTGTCCGGGCGAGGGTGTTACGTATATCTTTACAAGCTTTTCTGACAACCCAGCCTTGTTGATATTTGTCTTAACTGTAGAGCCACCAAGGTGTTGCCTAAGAGAGTTTAAGCACGCCGACATTGCAAAGGGTTATTAGATTCATAAGTCAGCGAAGTGGTGGGCGATCTACTGAGCACAGCAGAAGTTCTCATATGATGACTTCAAACAAGACACATTACCTACCAGCATCTGTTGGAGTGAGTGGATATTAAGACACTTCTATCTCCAGGACAGCGTAGGGGAAAATGGTAAGTAGCAATGGAAACACACAGCATATAAAGGATGATTACCAGTAAATAGTCGCGCTTGCTATTTAGTCTGGCAACGCATTGCTGGAAGGGTTGGACTCAGAGGCTACTTGAGAAACTCAGTATCGAGACCCATGTCTGATGAGGCTGATGTTGACAAAGCTTGTGTGAGAAAAATATTGTGTGGCATTTATTCGGCTCGGGATATGCCGGTACACTGAGAGAGGTAAGGAAATATTACATTGTGTCTCCGCGCAATGTGTGGATGTGATGTAGGCTGGAGACTAGTCTTGGAGGGTTGTGTGTTGGCAGTGCACTCTTAATATTTTATGCATGTAGTATGTTATTTTCTTGCGGTGCCCATGCTTAAAAGAAAGCAACATGTGCCACTTACCTGTGATACCTGCCATAAACATGACATTAAGAACAATCGGGCTCAGTATCAGCGTGGCCATTTGGCGTGAGAGTGGAGCCTTTTTTTTTAAGGCATCTGTTCACTCAATTGAACCGGCGTTTGTGATATAGGTGCTGTTATCTGTAAGGAAATGTCCGACCAACATGTGATCAAATATTAACAGGACTGGTTTGGCAAGGG